AGATCCTTTAACCTTTCCTGGTAAGTTTTATCCCGCAATCCATGAACCAGTTTAGTAGCCCTTCTCTGAACCCTCTCTAAGGTATCAATATCCTTCTGAAGATACGGTCTCCAGTACTGTGTACAATACTCCATTGACGACTACTTACAGGACTTTGAGAGGCTGTGTTTGCTACATGACATCAGCGATGAGGACCGGGTACCCCTACTAGCAGGGAGATTATCTGGGCGCGCCGCAGAAGCATACCGGGCCGTACCTGATGAAGATAGTAGAGACTACAATAAGGTGCAACAGGCCATTCTAGCCCGGTATGTGATCACCTCCGAGGCGTACCGAATGAAGTTCCGGGACATTAAAAAACCCTCTAAGGACACGCATGTGGAATGGGCACACCAGCTACAGCGAGCTGGAGGCCGCCCAAGTTAGCACGTTGGAGATTCTGTTCGAACTGATGGTCCTGGAGCAGTTCTTCAACGGAATCCCTGCATACCTACAGAATTGGATCAGGGACAGAAAACCACACACCCTGCAGGAGGCTGCTAAGCTGGCAGACGAGTTTCAAGATAACAGGAGAGATCAGCCCGCACCAACCAGACCAGCCTCCACCCCTACATCAGCAAGTACCGCAGGGGGCCCCACGACTCAACCACGACCTGGGGTAAGCCAAAATTCCTACCCCCCCAGGTATTCGGCACGTCCGCCAATTCGGTTCCATACCTGCAATCAACAGGGGCACATTCAGAGGGACTGCCCACGGAATCGACCCAGGCCCAGCTGGAATAACACAGCACCGAGTAACAGGGCAGCCGTGCACTGCATACAGGCTGAATCATACCAGACCCCAGAGACGGGCAACCCTGGAGGAACCGCTAGGAACCTTGCACGAGGTGAACCCCATCCAGGCCGCCTCCGATAATCGACAAGGGCACCGCCAGGAGGTGCACAAGGAGGTGAGAAAGGTACAAGGACTTCGTGACTCAGGGGCTACCTTAACTTTAGTCCGAAGTCATTTGGTACCCAAACCCATTCTCACCGGAGACTGTGTTGCAGTACGGGTGGCAGGGGGAGCCATTTACAAAGTACCTACGGCCAAGGTACACTTGAATTGGGGAGCAGGGCACGGGAATGTGTATGTGGGGATGATGCAGGACTTGCCAGCGGATGTGATTTTGGGCAATGACTTGGGGAGCTGACTTCAGCATTTGTTCCACAGCCCACAGTACAGGAGGCCTATCCGGTTATGACCCGACAACAGGTTCGCACCACAGCACCATCCAACCACTCTGAGGCTCAGGTAAGCAATGCCCCCCCATACTTACTGTCATGCCATGTGCCAACCCCCTAGAGTTTGGGTCAGAAGTGGCCCTAGACCCCTCCCTACAGGTGTACAAAGACCGTATTGATAAAGATCAGGCAGGATTAGAAGGGGAAAGGTATATCTGGGACAAAGGACTACTGTACCGACACGCAGAAAAGGTAGTGTCCGGATCGATACCTTTACCAATTAAGCAACTAATAGTACCTCGGAAATATAGGTTAGAGTTATTACGCATCGCTCACGATATTCCCCTGTCTGGGCACTTAGGCATCAGTCGTACTAAGCACAGGCTGACCCAAAACTTCTTCTGGCCAGGTATTTCATAGGACGTTAGGCGATATTGCCAGACCTGTGATACCCGCCAAAGGGTAGGGAAGAGAGGGGACAGATACAAAGCCCGGCTACGGTCTCTGCCCATAATTGAGGAACCCTTCAGTAGGGTGGCAGTAGACATCATAGGACCCCTAGCAAAGCCCAGCCCATCCGGCAAGAAATATGTCTTGACCGTGGTGGATTACGCCACCAGATACCCAGAGGCAGTGGCGTTAACCAACGTCCATGCTGAAACAGTAGCCGAGGCCCTGATGCGAATATTCACCCGGGTAGGATTTCGGATAGGGGCACTCAGTTTACCGCTGAAGTAACACATCAGCTCTTGAGGATATGCGGGGTACAGCAAATCCTGAACTCTGCATATCACCCCCAGTCCAATGGACTCTGTGAACGGTTTAACGGAACACTTAAGCAAATGATCCGTACGTTCATGGACACCCAAAAGGACCTGGTAAGGTTTTTACCCCACTTGCTGTTTGCGTATCGGGAGGTGCCCCAACAATCCACCGGATTCTCTTCTTTCGAATTGTTATTTGGGAGGAGAGTGAGGGGGCCCCTGGACTTGATACGGAAACACTGGGAGGGAGACAAGACCATTAGTGGCACCCCCATCCTACCCTATGTGCTCGAGTTCAGAGAACGCTTGGAGATGCTGACCCAGACCGTCCGAGACAATCTCCAGGTAGCTCAGCAACGACAGCGCAGATGGTATGATAAGGGAGCCAAGGACCGCAGCTTTCAGGTGGGGCAAAAAGTACTAATCTTACAACCGGTCCACAAAGATAAGCTGCAGGCTTCCTGGCAGGGCCCATACAAGGTGGTAGAGCAGATCTGTGACACCACCTATGTGATCGGCCCGGTCACAGGAGCAGGAGGCAAACGCATGCTACATGTGAACATGCTCAAGCCATACCACGAGCGCACTGAGGAAGTGACCACAATCTGTGCCCCTGCCACCGAAGATTTTGACAATCTACCCCTCCCCGATCTCCTAGACCAAGAGGGCCAGAGCGGAGATTTGGGAGAAGCGATTAAAGTTAGGAGAGCGATTAAATCCTCAGGAGCGAACCCAAGTGCAAAGGTTACTCCAGGAAAAAGCCACGTTTTCTAATTTACCCGGCTATACCCCGTTAGCTACGCACAAGGTAGAAACCTTAGATCAGACTCCGCTTCGCCAAACTCCATATCGCATACCCGAAGCAGTCAAAGAAAATATGCGCAAGGGAATTGAGGAGATGCTTCAGTTGGGAGTGATAGAGCACTCCGACAGCCCATGGGCCTCCCCGGTAGTACTAGTACCGAAACGGGACGGGACGACCCGTTTCTGTGTAGACTACCGGTGGCTCAACGATAAAACGACCTCAGATGCTTATCCCATGCCACGGATAGACGAGCTCCTAGACAAAATGGCCAGGGGCCAGTACCTCACTACGATAGATCTGTGCAAGGGGTACTGGCAAATTCCGTTAGCAGAAGAGGCTATTCCCAAGTCTGCCTTTGTCACCCCGTTCGGCCTGTACCAGTTTAAGGTCATGCCATTCGGGATGAAAAATGCCCCCGCTACCTTCCAGAGAATGGCAGACAGGTTATTGGATGGGTTCCAGGAGTATGCATGCGCGTATCTGGATGATATCGCCATATTCAGCTACTCCTGGCACGAACATCTGACCCACATAGGAGCCGTACGAGACCGAATCCGGGAAGCCGGACTGACCCTAAAACCCAGCAAATGCCATATAGGTATGGCAGAAGTTCAGTACCTAGGGCACAGGGTAGGAAGTGGACAGCAGAAACCAAAACCTGCTAAAATAGAGGCAGTCGCCCAATGGCCAACCCCTCGCACCAAGACCCAAGTACTCGCTTTCTTACTGTCAGGGTACCTGTTGGTGCTGAATCCAGGGAAGACATCCTCTCTGTTTAGGGGCTCCCTGCCCCTAGCATTTTCGGCATATTCCGGCCGTTTTCGCGCCGGCCGCGCTAGCTCCTCCCCCTTTTATGACGCGCCGGCTAGCGTCGACGTCATGACGTCGGCATTTGCATAAAGTGCCGGGAACCGCTATTCCGGACCTTTTGGGGGCGTGGTCTCTATTTAGGTACAGGGTATTTAAAGGAAACCTTTACTACTGCTCATTGCCCTGTCGTGGTTCTAGCTTGCTAAGTCACTCAGCGCGTTCTTTATCTTGTGTTTCCGGTTTTGACCCTTGCTTGTCTTTTGTCCTGTTGTCCTCTCCTCTCCTTTGACTCGGCTTGTATCTCGCTTACCTGTCCTCCGGCTCTCTCGACCTCGGCTTACCTTTTGACTATTCTGCTTTGTCCCTACGTTAGTCCGGCCATTCTAAGGTCCGGTATACGTACCTCCTTCTGTCCGCACTCTGCGTATTGGATCCCTGTCAGTATCCTGACACTTACTACCGGAAATTTGTGGCCAACTATAGTGCCCTCGCCAAACCTCTCACTGATTTGACCTGTAAGAATCTCCCTAAGCTAGTAGTCTGGGCCCCAGAGTGTGAGCAGGCATTTCAACAGCTCAAGACGGCACTTCTGAACTCACCTGTACTTTCTGCTCCTGATCCAACTAAACGTTTTCTCGTCCATACAGACGCTTCTATGTTTGGATTGGGAGCAGTACTGAGCCAAGTTGGAACGGATGGCGGCGAGCACCCCGTAGCTTATCTAAGCAGAAAACTTTTACCCATGGAAGTAACCTACGCCGCCATTGAAAAGGAGTGCCTGGCTGTGGTGTGGGCCCTCAAAAAGCTGCAACCCTATTTATACGGACAACCATTTACATTACTCACGGATCACAACCCGTTGGTGTGGCTGAACAGGGTGTCAGGAGACAATGCCAGGCTGCTGCACTGGAGTTTGGCGCTGCAGCCTTTTGACTTTACAATCCACAATCGCCCTGGGAAGCAAAATGGCAATGCCGACGGGTTGTCCCGACAAACATACTTGGAACCGTGATCCGTGAGTGCTCCTCTGGACATCCCCAAGCCGATCCGTTGGAATCAGACTGTGTATGTCGGCTTGGTTCTGGGGGAGCATTGTGGCAAACCTAGCCACTTGGACTAAACGGGGACAATATGTTTTTAAGGGTTGCCTGTATCTTTTGTGTATGTACAAAAAGGTAATGGTTCAGCGCTAAACAATCTAAGAGAAACTAAAAATAAAAAGTAAAAGCAGCAACCTATAGGAATGAGGTCCCTCAAATAACCTCACATGGAATGGAACAAACAGAAAAAGGTATATAGGTCGCGCTAAGGGGACAAGAAGGTAAAATAAATAAAATAAATAAAAGTAATAAAAAAGTCCCAAATATAAATAAACCTGTGTGGTTCTAGGAGAGTATACAGTCCAAATGGGTATCTGAGTCTTCTTATGTTGAGGATGTCTTGAAATGCTTGTCAATACGTAGATACATTAAAAAAAAGAAGAGGAAGAGGAACTCCAATAGTGTAGAATGTCGATATAGTTTCCAGGTATAGGTCTGTAAGTAGGTAAATGACTCACCTTGGCGTGAGCAAAAAAACCTTGCTCAAGTGTTCTTAGCGTTCAGTGGCGTCAATCCCCCACTGGTAGGATATAGGTGATGGGGTCCTGGACAATTCCTCGGTATATAAAAAATGAGAGACGTATATAGTGCTCACTGATGTTTGTAAAAACAAATAAAATAAGTAAAATACTCACATGTACATGAGCAGGAAATACTGCTCAGTATGATGGCGCAGGTGGTACAATCCCCACCTTAGGATTCTTGGAAGTTGACGTACTTCAATCCAAATTGATGACCAGGTAATTCAAATTGAAAATAACAATAAAAAATAAAAGGAATTAAAAGTATATAGGCAAAAAATAAGGGCCAATATTCCTTTATTAAAATATAAATTATCAATATATATAACAGACTTTGTAATAGCCAAAACGCGTTTCACCACACAGGGCTTTATCAAATGGCATTTAAAAGAGAGAAAAACCTGGTACACAAGCTACTTTTATAAGCTAAAAAATCAATTAGGCATTTGAATTTTGGCGCCAAAATGACGTCACACTTACAATATGCATAGTTTAAAAACAGTTTAAAAGTAAGAAATTGAAATGTGAAAGCATTATATAATGCAATATTAAGATAATTATCAGTTTCAAATAATAAAACAAGCATTTTTTATAATGTTATACACTAGGAGAAATGATGTCAGTGAAGAAAATATATTCGCAATTAGTATGTATATAAAAGTTAAAATTGATGATATAGGAACGTATATAAAAGTGGTATGAAAATGTCTGTGGGCTTGAAATAGAAAAACGAGCATTATTAAGAAAAGTAATATATAATGAAACACGTGATCGCGGCTAGACGCGATCACGTGATCGGAACTGGGTATTGTGGGAAATGTATGCCAGAGAGTCGGGAGATCGGCGCAAAAGTATATCGCCTGTCTCTCGACTAGATAGTGCAGCAGAGGCATATAGGAGCTAGATGATTAGCCCTACATGTAAATAAAGACCTAATTGGTGAAGGGAGAGGGGGAGAAAAGAAAAAGGGGAAGAAACAAAAGAGGGGTTTATAGCAGGAAATATCCTGCATAAATCTAAGGAAAAAAGAAAAAGATAATAAAAAAAATATATATATAAATAAAGAAGTGAATAAGGGTAAGTATAGAAAAAAATGAAAAAGAAATAATAATAAAAGTTAAAATAAAAATAAAAATAAGAATAAAATAAAAATAGAAATAGAAAATAAAATAAAAATAAAACTACACAAATACAATTAAAAATAAAAGTAATGAATAAAAATAAAGAATAAGAATAAATATAAATAATAATAATAAAAATAAAAATAAAATGAAAATAAAAATGAAAATAGAAATAAATAATAATAGAGTGTATAGTATAATAATAATAAAAATTAAAAATAAATATAAAGATATAAACAAAATTAAGGAAAGGAAAAAAAAATAAAAAAAAAAAATTATAAAAAGTTGAAAAGGTCAAATTTAACATTTAAGCCTTGAGGTGATAGGGTTTTTAATTGAAAAACCCAATTCATCTCTCTTTTCCCCAAAATATTTTTCATATCCCCTCCTCTCCATGGCATGGAAACTTTTTCTATCCCAGTAACTTTAAGAGCACTTGGGTCTTTATTGTGCAATAAAAAGTGCTTGGACACTGAATGGTTATCATATCCTTTTTTGATATTACGGCAATGTTCTGCCAGTCTGATCTTTAAACACCTTGTTGTCATACCAACATATTGAAAACCACATGGACATTCTAATAAATAGATAACATTTTTGGTATTGCATCCTATGAAGTCCTTAATCGGGTATATAGTTTTGGTGATGGTGGAGGAGAAATGAGTCGTTTTAGTATTGGTATTGGAATTTGTGGATCTGCATACGATGCATTTGTTACATTTAAAAAAACCTTTTGGTTTTGACAGAAAGGTCTCCTTTGATGAAGTAATTTTAGTATAATTTTTCGTTAGAATTTTCTTAAAATTTGGGGCCCCTCTAAAAATCACATTTGGTTTGTCAGGGATATAGTCTTTTAAAAGGTCGTCCTGTTTAAGAATGTGCCAATGTTTATTAATGATTTTTTTTATATCTTTATTTTTCTTATTAAAGTCTAAGATAATAGGCAATTTTGGGGGGTCTTCCTTTTTAGCTTTGTATGCTAAAAGGTCCTTTCTTTCTTTTGTACTGACTTCTTTTAATGCTGTATTCAATTTTTCTGGTTCATAGTTTTTATCTAAAAATTTGCTATTCAATGAGGTAGATTGGATTTTAAAATCATTTGATAGAGAACAATTACGATGAAGGCGAAGAAATTGACTTTTCGGAATCCCATCTAACCAGGGTTTATAATGACAGCTTGTATGGTCTATAATAGTATTAGTACATACTTCTTTAAAAAAAGTCTTGGTTTGAATATTTCCTTCATGAATAAAAATGTTGAGATCCAAAAAATCAATGGATACCTTACTATAATTTGAGGTTAAAATTATACTTTTATCATTGTTGTTTAAAAATTCTAAAAACAGTTTAAGAGAGGTCTCTGAACCTTGCCAAATAAAAAATAAATCGTCTATATAGCGAAAGTATGCGATCAGGTTTGCCCGCCAGCTATGATCACCCCAAATGGCTGAAGACTCCCAATCAGCCATAAAGAGGTTAGCATAGCTAGGGGCAAACCTGGTTCCCATGGCTGTACCTTTTTTTTTTGGATATAAAAAGAATCATAAAACCAAAAATAATTGTTGGTTAAAATCATGTGAATACCCTCTAAAATAAAATTTATTTGTGAGACTGGAATCGAAGTTTGGTTTTTTAAAATTTTTTCAACTGACTCACATCCTAAGGTGTGGGGAATAATAGTATATAAAGATTGGACGTCGCACGTAACTAAAATATAATCTTGACACCATATAAAATCTTTTAAAAAAGATAAAAGGGTCATCGAGTCTTTGAGATAGGATCTCATTAATTTTACTGAAGGCTGTAATAAAATATCTATATATTCTGAGAGATTGGATAAAACAGAGTTAATCCCTGATACAATTGGTCTCCCAGGGGGTTTAGTCATATTTTTATGAATTTTGGGGAGAAAATAAATGACCGGTATCTTGGGATAGGGAATGTTTAAATAATTAAATTCTTGTTTGCTTAGGATGTTTAGATCAAGTCCCTTAGTTGGGACTGTGTATGTGCCTGTTGGTAATCTGCTGTATCCTGCGTGCTGTATTGCTTGTATTGGCTATCTGCCGAAAGCAGATAGACATTTTCTATTTCGTTTCACGAATGGCACCTTTGCGAGCCGTTCGTGAAACGAATGAACCATCTTTCAATAGCCCACTAAGGGACGTGTGGCGCTTGTTAACCGATTGCAACAATGTTGCAATCGGTAAATAGAGGCTCTCCTAGGTGGCCGCCGTTCGGCTACTGACCACACAGCGGTCGGCCATCTTGGATCCTTTGTTCCCCAGCGGTGTTTGGTCGTCGAGCGCATGGAACTGAAAACTGCTACTCGACGGCGCGAACACCGCTGGGCTTCCAGACCGTTCGGGAGTCCCGGGCCGTTCGGTAGTTTGGTCCATCTATGTCAATCGGTATTTTTAACTTGTGTTATGAATAATGTGTTTTTCGTACGGCGTTCGGTTGTTTTAGCTGGGATCTGAGCGGTATTCACACGAACGGTGTGCTCAGACCCCAGCTATCTACCGAATGTCCATTCGTTAAAATCTGTCAAGTATTCGAAAAGTTATGTATTTTAATGTGAATTGTCGGTTCTGCTGCACGGAGGGATAATCCACTTAATGGTATATTCCAGTGGGAGTATCCCTCTCGTGCAGCAGTGCCTGATGGGAGAAAGGCTCTGTACATTAAGTTTCCCATGTAGTCCACTCCTGTAATGCCCCTGGGATAGGACTCAGGAAACCCCTTGCATGGGGAATTGTATAAATTGTGGAGCCTGTGAATAAAGACCTCAGTTGACTCCCAGCCTATGTGTCATCTAGTTCTTGGGAAGGAAAGATTACTACAATGCTACCAGGATTATTGTATGCTGTATTTATTCCCCTGGATTATTTTATGTTGTTCCTGTTACCCAGCGGAGATATTGTGGATTATACTGCCTCTCCACTACATACACATTGAAAATTAACAGACTGGTTATGTTGCCCATGAGACCATATGGTAGCCCAGGAATGAACATTACCCCCATGATGGCATACCATTTGCAAAAGTAGACAACCCAAGGTATTACAAATGGGGTATGTCCAGTCTTTTTTTAGTAGCCACTTACTCACAAACACTGGCCAACGTTAGCGTTTATATTTGTGTGTGAAAAATTAAAAAAACTAATTATGAATGCTAATTTTGGCCATTGTTTGTGACTAGGTGGCTAATATAAAAGACTGGACATACCCCATTTGAAATACCTTGAGTGTCTACTTTTGCAAATGGTATGCCATCATGGGGGTAATTCTCATTCCTGGGTTACCATATGATCTCAAAGGCAACATAACCAATCGGGAGAATTTTAACGATTAAAAAAAGAAAATTCAAGCCTTATATTTGACTCAGTAACTTTTGAAAACACCAATATACCTGTACATGGGGGTGTACTGTTATACTCGGTAGACTTCGCTGAACACAAATATTAGTGTTTAAAAATAGTTAAACTTATCACAATAATTATACTGTCAGTGAAAGTACAGTTTGTGTGTGAAAAATGCAAAAAACTACATTTTCACTGACAATATCATTGTTGTGCATATGTTTTACTGTTTTTTAAACACTAATATTTGTGTTCAGCGAATTCTCCCAAGTAAAACAGTACCCCCCTGTAACAGGTTGACGTTGAAGGATGCTCCTAGCGCTTCCTGAGGACTCCAAGCACTGCAGCAGACACCACAACCACCGAACCGGAGAAGCATATGAATGCTCTCAAGGATATGAATGTTGTATACAGCCGAATAGGAAAAAAACATGCGAATAGGTTTACACTCCTAGCAGTCAAACTGGAACAGCATACAATAAATTCTTCCCCAATGATGAGACGACACTTCACTTTGAGGGTTAAGCAGGAACTCACTGGACTGGCACATACAGCCTCTTTTATTCCCAATCCACAAACTTAGTACTGCCCA